GTTCTGTGTGTGACATCAAAGTACCGCGAGAGCGATTAGACAGCATTTTTAAAATGTTTATTTTGATGTCAAATAAGTCTTGCTGTTTTGCTTTTTTGTTAAAGCAGTGTTGCTGTTGTAAAGTTGTACAGCTACAGTTGTGTTGTTGGGTTTTAAAGCAGGTTTGATTTTTTTTTTTCTTCCTTATCACTCTGTATTTACAGGATTTCACTGTCCACTCTGTTCAAATGTGGATGAATGGCTACACATAGATGTGTGCACACACTGTCAGAGCTGTGTGAGATCACTACCATCCTGCTTTTTATTTATTTATGTTTAGTTTTTTTCCCCATAGGGTTTTAACATTCTAAAAGCTCTTTATTCCAAAGATACTACAAGCTAGTCAGTGTATTCAGTAGGTGTAATGTATTGTAAGTTGCTTCAAAAGTATTGCAAGTATTACATACAATAATAAAACAGTGCATTGACATAAAAAAGGAAATTTACTTTTGGTACTTAAGTACTTTTAAAAGCAAGTACTTCTGTACTTTTACTTAAGTAAAAATCTGTCTTTACAACTTTTACTTGTAATGGAGTAATATTTGACCAGCAGTATCTGTACTTTCACTCAAGTAATGGAGTTGAGTACTTTGTCCGCCTCAGTCAATACTGCACATTATCTGTGGAGGTTTCAAACCCCAGAGAGGAAAATGGCTGCAAATGAGCAGAAGAGAAAACGAGTGATGCCTCCCTGCTATGCTGTTTATTCAGTGCCTCCCATCACCTATCAAGAAAGGCCTTCAAACCATCCATCAGCTAGTTGAGCTGTGATGGAAGTATGCGGCAGTCTTCATTAGGCTGTGCGTCTGCTGAAGCGCATGGTAAACAGATGCAAATATTGTGCTAATGGCTGCCCCTTCAGTGCATTAGTATATTAGCATATGAAGAGGACATGGTCGTGAGAATTCAAATGGAAACATTATTAGCATTAGCGATAGCTCTTAAGGTTGTGAAAAATTAGGGCGAATTACAAACAGCTTTTTTGCACCCTTGAAGAGCACTTTGGGAAGGGGATGCCATTTGTAGGGACGTTCCAAACGAAAGTGAACAACTGAATCCCTTCACGAAGGGCCCTTCCAGAAGGCCATTAGCAAAGGGAACATGCGATGGTCACTTCACGGAAGTGATTTCCGTTTGTGATCATGTGATCTTGCGATGCTTTTTAAAGCAAGGTTGGGCTTGATTTCGACTTCACATACAAACGTAAATAGAATAGGCTAATTAAATGTGTCTATTTTAATGTAATACAAAATAATTTTCGTCAGTGATAGAAATATGATTTAAGATGGTAGTGTAAGCAAGTTTGAGCAAGTTTAGTTTGAAAAAGTTTAATAGTAAATGAGACACAATTAGACAATATTTGAATAAAATAATAATAAGAAATATTTATTTATTTCCAACAAGTGATGGAGTGCTGAATGTTGCATGCACGAGCAACGTTGTCAAGGTAACATGTGGTCAGTCATTCCCTTGGTCAAGGGAGTTCCAAACACATATACGAGACAGTAATGCCCTGCACCCTTCAAAGAACGCACTACAAGGGCTCTGCCCTTCGAAGGGAGTAGGGCATAGGGATGCTCACTTCCGTTTGGAATTCGCCCGCAAAGTGAACTTCTCTTAAATGAAACATTTAGGACTACAGTGGAAAACAGGCTGCCATCCAACTGTCTAGTTTGTCACTGTTCTGATGTATGATTTATGAAGTTATGTAGAGTAATACTATGTTCGTTGGACAGGTTCCAACTTATTGAAAAGGGATCATTTTAATTTACAAAATATTTAAGTAAAATCCACACTTTTTTCCAACACAATGTAAGATTGTATCCTACAGTCACAAAATAAAATCTTGATAGGGGAATTGTCATTAAGCATTGCTATATAATAATCAATATGAAAACAATATGAAATTCTGAAAATTGACCACATTAATTATACATTTCAGATTTTTAAAGAATTTTCTTTTTGTGAATTGTTAGCTTTTTATTTCCACATCATGTCCAGTTCAAAAATTAGTTAACTGTAGTATAAACAAATTAAACACTTTAAATCATTTAAAATAAAAATAATGTTTGTTGTTTCAAGTAATGTATGTGGTTTTAAAAGATCTAAAGGTAAATAAAAAATGGCAATCCAAACATCACTGATTAATAAAGAATAATAATAAACCTGGTGCAACTATTGGCTGCTTATTTTTAATGAAATAAATTCTGTCTTGATCCATTGGCAAGACAAGATCAAATATGAATAGTTTTTTCATTAGAAAAACTGAACTAAATTATTTTTAAATACCTCTGTAAAATGCCCCCATTATTCATGTTTTTGGGGTAGGTCAACTCATTACCATATTACGCTTCATAATTACCGTTCGATAATGAGAAACTACGCTGCAGTAAAGATGAAGGATTTGTTTCTCAGTATTTCAACTTAAAATTGGTTTAAAATCTCGGGATCTGTATATGAAGGCAAAAACTTTCTTTTTTTTTCTGTTGTACAGTTAACTGAAACCCTTTTGGCTCAATAGTCAGAAAAGACAGAGAGAAAGCATACAGCGGAAATCTGAGCACATTTTTCATTTATATCTCAAAGATGTGGAGAGAAAGGCTTGAGGATATACTCTGTGATAAAAACGGTACTTTTCTGTAGTTGCACTGGAGGGGAGCTATCAATCTTTGACCCAGAAAGTGTGTGGCTGGAAACTTGTGCAAATGTGCAAAATATTAATTTCTCAATATAATGATATTTAGTATTCACAACAATGCTTAGAAATGCTTCACTTGAGGTGGCTTTCACCACACATAATAAATGAGACAACAGCAGTACAACGCCGGACAACAACAGCTGATGACTATACATGATGTATGAATACAGACAAAAACTGGTAGCAGCAACAAAGCCAACACATTTGACTTGTTGAACCGAACTAATGAGAGTGTGCCAAGCTTTAAATGCTCAAAATTAAGGATTTTGATTTCCTGTAAAGATTTTAACACAGCAATAAAATCCAGAACTATTACCATATAGAGTGGCTGTGGCAGAAGTCCAGCGCTGAGATGATCTGTCTGAAGAACTTCCTGGCCTCTTTGGGTGTTAACCTGCCCTTCTTTACCAGGTAGTCAAAGAGCTCTCCACCTGACACATGCTCTAGAACCAAATATCTGTGGAAGATAAGCAGTAGCAGTAAGAAATCCTGACACGCTTCAAACTCCCAGGACAGATCTACTACCATGCCAATATAAAATATAAATTACCGTTCAAAGGTTTGTGGTCAGTAAAAATGTTTTTTGAAAGAAGTCTCTTATATGCTCAACAAGGCTTCATTTTTGCCAATAACACATTAAAAGGAAAAACACAATAAAACAGAAATATTGTGAAAAATCATTGCAATTTAAAAGAACTGCTTTCTATTTTAATATATTTTAAAATATAATTTATTCCTGTGATGAAAAATCTTTGGGTTTTCAACTTTTCAGCAGCTATTACTCCAGTCTTCAGTGTCACATTATCCTTCAGAAATCATTCTAAAACACTGATTTAGTGCTCAAGAAGCTTAAGACATTTCTTATTATTGTCAGTGTCAAAACAGTTGCGCTACCTAATATTTTTGTGGAACTTGTGATTTTTTTTTTTTCTTTGAAGTAGAATTATTATTTTTTTTTATAGAAATAAACAAGTATTTGTCACATTTGACCAATTTAAAGCATCCTTCCTAAAAAATTACTTTCTTAAAAAAAAATAAATAAATAAATAAAAAAGTACTGACTCTTGAATGGAAGTCTACAGGGGGCTCCAATAGTCTGAAACCACTAGTGAACATGCTTCTATTTTGCTTTTTTTTTTTTTTTTTAAATAATTTTTTAT